TAGTGAATGCTTGTGCTGAATAATGACTGATTGTCATAGAAGGATGCATATGTATTTTCTTGCTTAATCAAACCATGCTGTTGCAAGATATTAATAATGTTAACGAACAATAAAAAAGTTGCAGCAGTTAAGCAATGAACTTCTTCCAACCATTTTTCTAGTTGACATGTTCTTATAAAAAGGGCAGGCAAATCATATTAAGGTTCTGAGTATTTTATTGTAAATAAAAGAGAGTTATAAAGAGTAATTGCATATTATGATATAAAAAAATTAATTTTTCCCAAAGAATTAAAAAAAAAGAAAAGAAAAATTCTTGGAATTAAAAAATAAAACAAATATGCAAGATTCTAAGAAAATGGGATACATGATCTTTGAGAAAAGAAACAATAGTAATAAAGACTGGAAATATAGGAACAGGAGAAAGTAATATAGTCTGTACTTTTTTTAATTGAAATACATGATGAATATCTGAAAGTGCTAATTTGTAAAATGGAAGGTAACAACAAGAAAATTATCTTATTCATTAATAACTGCATTGTGCATTTTAAAAACAGGACATTTTTTGCCAACACTGAGTTCTTCCAGAAACTTCTATTGCAATTTTGAAGCCTAAGGATCAGAGTGTTAGTAATGTTTTGGAAAAGGCTTGCCTATAGACTTCTTCTGCATGTTAATCTAATATAGTTGTCCATGTTGTAACATAGGCGGCCATATTGTTAAGAGCCACAATACTATATTTACAGTGGCTCAAATAATTGAGAATACACCTTACTTTTACATGATAAATTTAACTTTCAGTATAAATAACACACTATCAAGAAGCAGAAACATGTTTTTATTTTTACGTATAATGATTGGTTTAATTTAAAGTAAGAATAAAGAACAATTCACACACACACACACAAAAAAAAAAAAAATCGTAAAATGAAAATTTTCAAAAACATTTTAAATAAACTTATGCAAATTTTTGCCTAAAAAAATTGAGAATACACCAATGAAAAATAGGTTTTAGCTACCACTACATTTTCCCCACGTGGCTTCTATTTTAATCTAATGTTGCATAATTTTATCTTAAGCCTTTTCACTTCTGTGATGAAATTTGTTATATGAACTTTTAACTAGAAAATGGCACACTTTTAACTAGAAAATGGCTCTTCGAAAAGAAACTGGTATTGACATAAGGAAATGTGTACTAAGATTATATAAAAGAGAAAAATCTTTTCATGAAACAGCTAAAACTTTTAGTAGAAATCACTCATGTGCCCAGAAAATCGGTGGAAAATTTAAAAGTAATGGATTGATTGAAAATAAAAGTGGAAGAGGAAGGAAAGGTATTCTGAGTGATGTCGTCAAAAGGAAAATTTTGTAAGACATCAAGATTGATCCTAAAGTAAGTGCAGTCAAACTTGCTCAGAAACTTCTCAAATCATTGGTAGAAGTGCTGAAAATGTGTGAAATACGAGGCGTATTCGGAAACTAATAACCCTTTTTGAAAAAAAAAAATAGTAAAACAATTTTTTCGAATCCAATTTTATTTTTACATGAAAATACATGTCTTAAACTATTTTTCAACATAGTTTCCGCCAATGATCAAACACTTGTCATAGCGGGTGACCAGTTTTTGTATGCCATCGTCAAAGAAACTTCCCACCAGTTTCGAAACCATGACTCCACAGCATTTTTCGTGTCATCGTCAGATCCAAAGCGCTTGCCACCAAGCTCGTGCTTCATGTGCAGGAACAAGTGATAGTCGGACGGCAGCAAGTCCGGGCTGTATGGCGGGTGTTCGAACTGCTCCCAATGAAACTGTCGAATTAACGATTGAGTGACACCAGCAGTATGGGGCCGAGCATTGTCATGGAGCAACACAATTCCTTTACTGAGCATTCCTCTTCGTTTGTTTTGAATGGCACGCCTTAGTTTTGTTAAAGTCTCACGATGTCATGCCGCATTAATGGTTTCACCTCTAGGAAGAAATTCAGTAAGCAAAACGCCTTTCCTATCCCAGAAGACAGTGCACGATTTTTTGTAATGACATTGTCACTTTGAACTTTTGTTTTTTCAGAGAATGCGTGTGTCTCCACTCCATCGATTGTTGTTTCGATTCTGGTGTGAAATGACACACCCAAGTTTCATCACCTGTCACAATTTGGTTTAAAAAGTTTTCTCCCTCATCACTGTACCGCGTGAGAAGTGTCAGGGCACTACCAAGTCGCTTTGTTTTGTGAACATCAGTGAGCATTTTTGGAACCCATCGGGAACACAGTTTGCGATAATTCAAGCGGTCAGACACAATTTCGAACAAAACAGTATGTGAAATTTGTGGAAATGCCTCTAAAAGAGTTGTCATTGTGAAGCATCTGTTCTCATGAAATGCTTCATCAACTTTCCTTACCAAATCATTGGCGACAACAGAAAGCCGACCACTCCGAGCCTCGGCGTGACATTTGTTCGACCTGCATTAAACATTCTTACCCACTTTCTCACCATTCCATCACTTATCGCTTATTCACCGTAAACTTCTGTCTCTTGACGATAAATTTCGGCCGGTTTAACATTCCTCGGGTTAAAAAATTCAATCACGGCATGAATCTCACAGTCAGCGGGAGAACTAATTGTCTTAAACATTTTGAATATGCACAACAAACTGAAAACACAACATAGAGCAACCAAAATGGCGACAATTGAAAGTCAGTAAACAAGAAAGACTAGTGTGCATGCACGGGACACCTACCACAGCGCTGCGACGGCGCTAGGATGAAACGGTACTTAGTTTCCAAATATGCACGTATAATTAGACAAGCCGGATATAAAACTAGAGTTGCGAGAAAGTAACCATTTATCAGCTTTCAGAATCAAAAAAAAAAAATGTTTGGAGTTTGCAAAAACTCATCAATTGAAGACTAATAACTTTTGGAAGAAAGTTATATTCACTGATGAAAGTAAATTCAACATTTTCTGCAGTGACAGCTATCGAATCACATGGAAAAAGCCCAACACCTCTTTGGATCCAAAACATTTACATCCTACAGTTAAACATGGTGGGGTTTCCGTCATGGTTTAGGGCTGTATGGCTTCAACTGGGGTAGGAAATTTAGTTTTTATAGATGGCATTATGAATCATATGGTTTGCTTGGATATAATCCACAGTAATCTTAAAGAAAGTGCTAAAAAGTTTAGATGAAAATTTCATATTCCAGCAGCACAATGACCCCAAACACATGGTACATAACTCAAAATGTGGTGCCTTTTTCATCATAAACATCAGTTACACATGCCACCACAGTCCCCAGACATCAGTATTATAGAAAATCTGTGGGCCACACCCGAAACAGCAGTCCCAAAACATATAAAAAATAAAGTATATTTAAAACAAGTGTTGAAAGAAGAATGGGATAAAATATCTTCAAATAGGACTAAAATGTTGGTCAAATTGGTACCCTGACATTTGGAAGAGATTATAAAAGCCAAAGGACATGCAAAAAAATATTAACACTTTCTTTTTATGTGAGATATCACAAAAATTTCATTGGTGTATTCTTAATTTTTTTGAGGCAAAAACTTCCATATGTTTATCTAAAATGCTTCTGAATTTTTTCATTTTAGAAATTTTTGGTTGACTGTTCTTTATTTTTGCTTTAAATATCTGAGGCAAATCATCTCTACAGTATTTGTATATGTAAAAACAAGAAAAATTAACTAAATACAATTTTTTTATCAGATTCACAAACTAAACTAGAAGATGAAAATATAATGAAAATCCTTCTTAAGTTTTGCATGTTTGCTATATCAAAACTGATACAACTTGTAAAATTTTTATCAAAATAGTGAGAAGTAGGCCACACATTATGTTCAATAATAGAGTTATAAGAAAAGGTAACACTTTGAGAAAGAGAATAGATATTATTAAAATTGTGCAAGATATATACTTTAGAGAAATAGACAGCTGTAAGTTCAGTGTCTTTTGTCTTATCAAAATCTGTCAGATGAATAGGGTTTGAGAGGTGATTGGTTTAGGTGAAGGTGACAAAGCAAGAGGTGTTAAAGCAACAAGAATCAGTATAATATTCATAAATTTGCAGAATTAATTTCAAAGATTTAAATATAAAAAGTTCTTCATCTGCAAAAGTGCAAATGATGAAAAGAGCCAGCGATAAGAATGAAGGAAATTAAGCTTCTGACGTCATCTATTGATAAAAAATTAAAACTATGAAATAATTTCCTTAAAAGCTGAAGGTAGAGATGGATTGGAATTATTAACTAGAACTGAAAGTTTTTTATGAGTGAAAAGCCTCTAGAAAATCATGTTTGCCTACGGAAGATGTTTTTTGAATAATTTCGGCTGCAGAAAAATGTAAAATGTGATTTTCTGAGCTACGGTATTGGACAACAATGGATATTTGTGTTTCTTTTTCCCTAATATATGCCTGCAAAATTTTAAGGCTACTAAAACTATTTAAAACTAGTCCTGAAAATTTATGAATATCATATTGATTCTTGTTGTTTTAATTCCAATATTGTTATTCAACATGTTATTTTAACTCAAATAGCAAATAGAGTGTACCCTTGAATAATGATGATAAAAATGGAGCAAGTTATATGCATGAATTTAGATATTTGGGAACTAGCAAAAGGTGAAATCTAAAAACAAATTAACCATGTTTTATTTTAATAAAATAGCTGTAATTCTTTTTTTAAATATGGCAAAAATATTTTAATAGAAATATGATGCAATAAAGAAATAATTTCTGGCCTGACTTTGTCTTTGACATGTACTCCATCCAGGTATTTTATCTTCTTATAAAACCACACATTTAGCATGTTCACTAGTTAAAGACTAAGTATTCTGTATACCAGTTCTCTCTTCCCCCCCAAATGAAACTGCTATTGAATATTTTAAATGTAAGCAAACATATAAATTTGATTTTATTAAAATGATTTATATACACAACCCTCCCACTAAAAATTTCATAGTTTCTTACATAAAATAAATACATAAATATTTTACTGAAATGATTTATTTAAATATTAGTGGAAAAAACATATATAAATAAATAATAAAATAATTGTAACAAAATCATAACAATTTGTTATGTACAGATGAACAAAATAGCATTGGCACATTTCTGGGACATCAGGATATGTAAGTAATTTTTTAAACAATGGATACATTTTAAACTCTTCAAACTTCTATATCCTGATTAGAGGGTACTGGTAGTTTCAATTCTTGCTTTAACTTTGGATATTCAGTTCTGGTATGCCATACCAAAACCTATGCATGGGAAAAAAATATTTAAAAGACTTTGCATGTAAAGATATATAAAAGTGCTAAAAATACTCTATATACAAAATATTTGTGTAAAAAAAAAGTAAAAAATATGCTATACACAAAATATTTGATTGAAAGGTTATTAATTTTAGTAAATAAACAACAATAAATATTTTCAAATAGATAAGTAAAATAATTGCCTTAATAACTTAAATGTGATACTTATGACTACTTTAATTCTAGTTTTTTTTTTTTTTTTAAATTAGTATTTCAAATATATGCCTTAACTCACTCCCGTGTTCACCTGAGGTACTTTGGGATGAAAAAACAGAGTTCGTACACATTTCTGCACATACAAATGAAGTACTTTTAAGGACCACTAATGAAAAAAATTAAGAACCTATAATTACTTTTGTAATACCATCCCAAGAATAAAATAGATCCGTAAGTAAGATGTATCATTATTAAATATAATTATGAAACAACTTTATAGAATTTATCAAGTAGAATTAAATATAATAGATAATAATAGTTGAGACATATTTAAGTAAAGATTAGTGACATTTTATTAATGTTTTACAAATAGCTAGCTTTATGCTGACTTTTCTTTTATGTCTCATTTTAATACTAATTTGCTCAAGTTAGAGGTTTAATAAATAGCAGCAGATTTTATGTGAAACGGCATAGGTTAAAATCAGAAGTCATAATCATAATCGACATGATCCATCACAGAAGATTTGCTGTTGCCGCCACTTCTGCTTACCTAGAGAGAGACCTGCTGGTCAGAACAGACCTGAATGCCTAATGTAGGTCTGGTTGGCAAGTTTTAAAAGTTAGTTATGCTCTGTCTGTCGCACGCAGTTAGTGTGTAAAGTTTCTGGGGTTGTAACCCAGTTGATATACTTAATGATTATAATAAGCCACTAAAACACCAGAGGTGATGAGTTGTTTTGTATTATTTTCAGTTTCACTGGTTGCGAAAAATAAGTTTTACATTAATTTTTACATTTTTATGTTATATCTTGTGATCACGATAAGAATTGACGAAAGACAACTCGTTTTAACATACAGAGATAACTTTTAAGATGAGTAGTTATTAATTAAATTAGGTAGTTAGATAACTTTAATAATTATAGATTTACATGGCCACTACAGTCAAAAGTCGTTAATTCGGACACCCATAATCCGGAATGATATAATCCGGACCTCAAAGCTACAAACTTTCTGCGCATGCGTCGCGTTGACGCATGCGCATAGGCGTTTACGCGTGCGCATAAGACCTTTACAGCTTCCAATATGCGTGTGCATAATACGTCTATGTATGCGCGTTTAATCTATAACGGACGGTATAAGCTAAGCTAAAATTATCTAATTCAGTTAATGTTGCAGATTGCATTGTTCCTTAATCTTCGAATTGGATCCACCTTATTTATTTTTTGCAGACTGTTAGAGCAATTTTATAAAAGTAAGCTTGAACTTTCGATTATGTCAAATAGAATTTCTGATATATATTTACTAATATGTAAAGGATCTACAAAGCGAAAGTATGTTTTGAAATTCGAAATCTGTTTATCAATTTCACGCTGCTCTGCGGGGGGAGGGAAACAACGCGGCACGCAATGAATTGGAAGTTGATCTGTCAGCACTATCATTATCTTCAGGGCAGATGTTTTTATTTTATTTGGCTTATAATTCCTTACTAAATGTAGTATTTCATCTCGATCTACTCTCTTTGATATGATTTAAATCAAGTTCCTTGTCATTATAACTCGCTAATAGTGAAGAAAGTGACAGAGTTTGTAACTAAACAAGAAATTATGTCTGTTTAATAGAATTAAAGAGAAAGTATTATCACATGATACGAAGCAACTTAAACAGCTTACATTGAAAGAAAGGTTTAATTAAGTAAACAAATAAAGCTATTTCTTTTTTGTAAATTTTGATACCCTTTAGATCATAATTGTTCTTTATTTCATAAATTACGGTTTCATATTTTTAATTTTATAATCTCTGCATGCCATCTTACCAGATTTAAAGTGATGATCTATAATCCGGAAAAATCGGTAATCCGGAATCGCCGAAGTCCTGACGAGTCCGGATTAACGACTTTTGACTGTATTAAATTTTATTTATTTTTGAAAAATATTTGTCAAAAAGCACTATTAAAATTATTATCTAATAACATTTCACATTTTAGAACACTTGTAGTTTATGACTATCTTAAACAATACTAGGATAATTACATATTTAAAACTAAAAAAAATTATGTTTTGTACAACAAAGTATTTATGCAATTTGTAGCCGTCCCAGATATTTTGGCAAATTTATGTCAATTTCCTTCTCTCTAAGCATCTTTTCTAACAACAAAAAATTTGTTTCAATATGCAAACCAATGTTCCCACTAGTTTCTGCTTTATTTCCTACCTTGTCAATCTATTAACAATGCACCTATGAGGTTTTTCTTGATTTAGCAAAAGTTAAACAGTCCAAAACTTCTGACAGGTATGCAGCAAATTTCTGCATGTTCCATGTCTGAAAGTAACTACAAAGTCAGATAAAGGTTTAAATAAACGTCTTTTATTGAAATGTGAATTAGTAGTTAAAGACTACACAATTTAATTTTAATCTAAGCTGGCTAAGTAACTCTATCATCATAGCAAATTCAAATGTGGGCAGCAATAATGCAAAGAAAAATAATTACAAATTATCATAGCTGATAGCAATTAATGCAGCATGCAAGTGGAGGTAAGAAACACACTGTTTTACAATCCCTAAACCTCAGTTAAATACTATCTAGCAATTTACATTCTGGTGAGGAAACAGAAAAGAGAAGTTTTAGTAAAAGTTGAAATTATTAACAACTGGTTAATTTACATAATTGTAACTGTATATATCTTTGAAGAATAATTTTCTTTCTCTTTATGTATTCAGTTTCTTTCTTCCATATGTTTCCTCTTCATTTTAGAATTTTCGTATTTAATTAAAGATATCTATTATTCTAAAAAGCTACATGCATTTAGAATGCATAGCTGTTAATTTTTTTAGTAATATGAACATTGAGAATAAATATGAAATGATATATGGTCAGTTCTGGTTACAGAGCCGGTATAGCAGAATTTTTAGAATTTAATGATGCACTGAATATTAAATTCTAGAAATGTTGAAATTACTGGAATTTAGGGTAAGCACTGGGAGCAGAATTTAGGATCCACAGAAATTGCATCAGGTGCGAAAATATCTAGAGAATTGAGGGATAAGGTTAGTCTTTTAAATTGTCAGTTTTCAATTTCTTTCTGTACATGCCTGTTTTATGATAAAATTATTTTTGATATTTTCCATGCTTGTGCCTAGTGAAAATAAGGGAAGATAAATGAACCATAAAAAACCATCATGCAGGGTTCATCTGATTATATTCAGTGTTTTCAAATGCTTAACATATGATTAGCCCAAACATAGAGAGCAAGCAGCTCCAGTTTCCATTTCAAAGCATGCTTCCTTCTCCCTCCCCACAATTAGTAACCATTACCAATCAACATTTCAAAAAAATACTTTCAAATATTATCTGAGGTGGAAATCTAATGCTTTAGAGTCTGAAAATGATTTTAAAACACTCAGATTGCCCTCTTTTGTTCGAGCTGCTAATGAGTAGGGCTGTTTACTAAAATTTAATATATTTTTGCAAAGGTGTTTTCCAAGAACCTTTTGTAAAGGAAAAGGAATAATGAGTTATTTTCACCTTGTATATTGATTTTCTTAATGTTTTTTGCCTTAATACTAAAACTGGTATTTTGTTTTTTATTCCAGTTGGCACATTACCCACTTGCATATTAAAATCTTATTTGGAGACATTACATATTGCAAATAATAATAATGGGAACATGGGTTTGCATGAAAAATCTGTAAATTGAATTATGGCTCAGAAACTGCTATGAAAATAGTCATGAATAATTCATTACTCATTTAATATGTATAACTTTCATTTAAATTTGCATTATTCAAATTCAGAAATGTAGAAATTCTTTCGCAAAATCTTTGAAAAAAATTCTTTGGTTAGTTGTTAAAATCTTGACAACAAAAATTAATTCTTTATTATTATCAGAAAGTTAAACCAGCAATTATGAGCTAAATATTAAATAATTAAAAGCTAATTATTATAATTAAATTGAACTGAATTGGAAAGCACTGATTTCACCAAACAGATTCTAATGAACCATCTTATTTCATTAATTGCTTTCAGACTCACATGTAATTGTGCTCTGTAAATTACTTACTGAAATAAATAAAAAAACTAAGCATGCATAAGAAATTGGCTTAACAATGAAGTATTTAAAAAATTACTTCCAAAAGCTCAGCTTCCAATATTTTTTAAAGTAAGAAAATATATAAAAATGCTTAATTTTCTTGTAACTGCATCTAATTTAATCATTTTTAATCATATATAAATTTTTGCTAATTTCATTGCTTCAGTTTTTCTCATTCTAATACTTAATATATGTGGTAAATGTAATTTTATTTCTAAGTGGCACATACTTCAAAAATGCTGTTTACATCTAATGAAAAATTTGGATTTCTTTGTTATGTACTAAATAAAAAAAGCATAATTGTAAATGTTTAGAATTATGTTTTGAGTGGCTTATTTTATGGATCTTTTTAATGATTAAATTTTGACACAGATACTTAACAAATGAAACATGAAGTTATACTACTGTAATTAATGTAAAGGATTTTATACTGCATAATGAGTGGGAATGAAGTTAAAATATATTAATAAATTCAAATATTTTTATATAACATGATACCTGTATTAATTAATTTCATAAAGTCTGCACAAGAATTATATTTTGAAGAGAGTTAATGACAGAAAAGAAAATAATAAACTGGCAATTTGAAAATTTCAGATTACAGTTTAATGCTTTAAGAGGAATTCTAGCATTTTAAAATACTAAAAATATAATACATTATAAAAAAGGACTGCACAAATTATTTCATATTATGATGTGGCATAAGATCTTAATTTTCCTGATATTTTCATACCTTTATTTTTATTACCATTTTATATAAAAAATTCAGAAACATTTTTAAAGTGGGACAAATATTTCACTTCTTTTTTAATATTATCTCTTATTGCTACATTTAATAAAATTAAAACTGTATTATAAAAAAAATAATTTTGAAAAGCTTTGTTGCTTATTTATAATTTTTATTTAGTAAAAACAGGAAAGTAAGAAAATGTTAAAAAATTAAATACCTTATTCTGCATATAAAAGCAGCACTCTAAGAACCCCCCCTCCCCAAAGCTGAGTGAAAGATAAAAGAGATCTCAGATGTAAAAAAAAAAAAAAAAAAAAAAAAAAAAACTTCTTTGATGTAATTAAAAATAGAAACTTTAAAATAACACTTAAATTAACTGAAGTGTATTTAAAGAGCTCCTCAAAATAGAATAATAACACTAATAAAATTTTTCAAAAAATTATACATTCCTTAAGAAAGGGGAATGAATGTTTCACATCACTGTATTTATAATAAATTTCAGTGTAGTCTCATATCACTTTATTTTACTTTTGCTTTGTTTATTTTTCAATAAATGACCTAGATTCACATTTTACATTTGATTACTTTAATTATAAGACAAAACATTTGCTTTTGTGCAAAATGTTCTAATAAAAGTAAGAATTATTATTAAAAAAAAAGAAATGGTAAGCAGTATTTGCATGAAAACTGCTGTAATGAAAACAATTAGAATGTTTTCACAAATCTAATGCTTGAAGTTTTGTATACAGGGTTGAGGACAAAATTGATGGTTTGCATAATATGGATGTAAGGATAATAGAGATATATGGGTTTACTTAGCTGTGTACTTCAAAATTTTATTAAAAAATCATTAAAATTTTGTTAACCCAATGTCTTAAAAAATCCCCCCCCCAAAGAAATTATCTAGGAATATTAGACCCTACGACTTAGTCAGCTAACTAGGATTTTTAATTCTAACTTATCAATTTTAGGCCCTTTTTAAAGTAAGTTTTATTAATCAATTTAAAATTTTTAAAAGGTCAAGCCTAATATAATTAAAGCTTAAATAGTTAACTGAATATTTCTTCTGAATACAAACTTTTTTTTTTTTTTACTAAATTTGTTATTTTTGAAATAATCAAAACTCTAATCTTTTTTCCCTTCATAAGCTCCAATCTAGATTAAAAAATAATAATAAAAAATCCACACCCATAAGTTTAGTAATAACTAAAAAAGGAAAGTAATAAAAATATGGCTTTTAAGATTCTTTAAGAATTTTATTGAAACGGAGTTTAGTATTTATTACCTTAACAACTATGCACCATTATTACAGTACAGCTTATAAATTTAAAAGAAATATCCTAACAATATTTAAACAACCAGTAGTTAATATTTTAGTTGTTACCTTTGTACAGTTGTTTGCTTTTGGTTCAAGTTGATCAAGAGTGACTAGACTTTTCAAGAGTTTGCTTTCCTGATAACCTCGAGGAACAGAAAGACTAAATCCTGCTTCTGGATGGTTAAGTATTAAAGTGAGATTCACAGCAAATCCAGCCATGTCAATGGGAAAAGGTCGGGTAGGTTTCCACACTGTATTCCAACCAATAACTTTACCATCTTTCACTAATGGTCTTTCCACCATCAGACCACCTACTAATCCAACTGGCCAAACAGATACCATTTTTGTATATCTCATCTGAAGATTAAATATGGAGAATAAATATAAAATTTTACATTTTTAATACTCAAAAGACATAAATATTAAAAGTATTGAAAATTTACAACAAAATATTGGAAACTGATTCTGAAATACTTGAGATGCATTTCAGCATGAATTATATATATATACAGAATTATGAAAACGCATTTCATATTCTCAACTAAAACTTGAGTTATAACAAAGTGCTAAGGATGTAAAAAATGAAAATTCAAATTTATTTTATTAAATTATTACAAAAGCATTACATAATAATTAATGTTTTAACAATCATTAATATGGATGCCTCTAAATAAATATAAATGTAGATGTAAAGAATGTCCTAAATTTACATTGGTTGTGTCACATATCAAAGGCTGTGTGACATGTTCTGTTAAACAGCATTCAAGATTCTTCTAGATATCGCAGAAAATAAATCTTGAATAAGCTTTTTGAGAGGGTGAAAGCAAGAATATTTGCAAAGCAGCTTAATATTAGTTTTAATAACACACATGAGTTATAAGTAATACTAATGAGTATGTTAAAAATTACTGTGTCATTGACAATTCTTATATTGATGTAAGGAGAAATACTATAATACATATTTCTTTATACCTAATTTATTGGGTTTCTTACACCGATTTTTAAGTGAAACACATATGGTTAAGGTTTATGTTCACATTAATCTAAAAATATCGGTACTTTACAAAATTCTTGTTTTATTCACAGAAGGATTACATAAAAACATACTTTTAAAATCTAACTTTTAGAACAATTTTTTCTTACTTCTTCAAAAAGCTCTAAATCATATGTATTATCATCATCTGCAAAATAAACCACGCCTTTTGCTTCAGGAGGCATGTGTCTTCGCAGCCAATTCAAAGCCAAATTACGTTGAAGCACACCCTTGGGTTTCAGCCAGTTTGGATCTTCTTTTTTCATTTTCATTGCTTCAGGGGTAGGTATGTTCAAATGAGTAAAAGATATTCTTGTCTTTGCCAAAAAATTTGTTACCAATGCTGTTTTATTCACAGAATCTTCAACAATTATCCAATGAATATTGGATACCTACATCAAAATATAAAATACTATATTGTGCAAGATTAAAAAGTTAACTATATTACATACATAAATATGAAGTGCATTCATAGACCACAAGAATTTCTTACATGTAATTTCTTAAATTAAAAGTTTTCATTTAAAAATAAGTTATGTAACTAATATTAATTAACAGATACATGATTACACCAATAAAATTTTTAATTAGATTAAAAATCATATTTGTATTTTAATTTTAAGATACATAATACCATGATAGTTTGTTTAATATTTTTTAAATGCAGAACAACAGAAAATCAAGATAAATACCATGTTCCAAACAACTAAATGGTTAACACTTTAGTGTATGTTACACCAAAAATAAGTTTGCTAAATTTATTTTAACTTTAAAGACTGAAATTTCAATTTAAATTGTAAACCCATTGAATGGAAGACAAATCAATGTATATGAGTACACACACTCACATATATATAGAGAGAAGAATAATAATATAGAATATACAAATATACATGCATGTGTATACTTCACATTTCCTAAATTAAACTTTTACTGTCTCCAAATAAAAATATCTTTATTACATTAAATGAATCACTGTGATTACCTCAGAAATGTAGTCCTGTATTCTTGCTGCCATAAATATTTGTCTTAAGATATTTTACCAGCTGAAATACTAAAATGGTTTCAGATAATTTTGCTCTTATTTGAAATTCAACTTTGTAGGAAATAAAAAGTTTCACAAACTTTTCATCAAAATTTTAAAATGTTTTAATTTATACTTTTTCTTATAATATTACTAAAAATTAAATTCAGATTTTTCATTTACATTATGTTAGAGTGGTCCTATTTACCTGCATTGAAAAATTTGATATCAAATTTTATCAGATAAACCATAATATAAAATGGGTGATGATACTAAATTATTGTGCCATACAAAGATATATTAATTTAAAAAAAAAAAAAAAAAAAGATAGCAGCTACTGTAACAAAAAACGATAAGTAGAACCAGTGTTATAATTTAATGCCCACTATTTCATAATTATCAATAATTACAATGCTTCTTATAATATTTAATGAAACAAATATAAATGCAGAAACTATATATACTTATAAAAATTACATAATTATAAATGTGCATTTGTTTAAAATACATATTTAATGAAACCACCTTGGTGCAATCTGGTCCCCCCCTTTTTTTTTCCATTGAAAAAGTAAAACTTAATTATCGGGTACCAGCTGGTGTTTTTCATGCCACTTTTTTAAAAGGTTCCCAAAATATCATTATTTATTGTAAGTCAGCAAACATCATCAACGTATCAAAATAAAACAAACTTTAAAAACACAAGATAAAAATTTCAGGTATTAAATAAAAATTACATGATACATTAAAATATGTATATGGAGAGAACAGAATGAAATAATTACAAAACGATTTCTCAAAAAAGTTTTTTTTAAATTTGTTTAATGAATGTAAACAAATATTTTGTTTACATTGTTGAAATAGACATAAAGGTAGCCAAATAAAATGTTTCTCTCCAAAATGAGTTTGAAAACACTCTCCAAAGTCAACAACAATGGTACTTTTTTGTAGGGGTATGAATTCAGAAAGTACCTGCCTTTCCTTCAGCCATTGTATGCTTTGCAAGTAAAAAACAATCAATTTGCTTCCCCTACCCCAATTTTTTGTAAAAATTCAATTCTCTTATGATTTTTTTCTTTAATTAAAAAAAGCTATTATTGTAATCTTATATAATAGTGAAGAAATTCAAAATAAACTTTCATAAAAGGAAATATCAGTATTCTATTTTGTGAGCTGAATTTGTAATACATTGTATCTTAATATGTCACAAATTTCTAAAAGATACAAATAATTAAAAAACTTGCAACTCTAATTCACAAAATAGTCATACCAATAAAAGTGTATGAGACATCTTTGTTAGTTCAGCTTTCTGTACAGGTCTTGCATATGTAGGAGTGATAATATATATTACTGGTCTGCTTTCATATCCATTAACAGTTTTCTGTAAAATTCTTAATAATTTGGTACATTGAGGTTCATTTTTTACTAGATCAAAGATGCGCAGAAGAAGGAAATTCTAAAAGAAATAATTCAGTGTTATTAAAATTATTGCCATTGTATATAAATAATATATGGAATACAAATAATTTTTAAAAGGAAAATTTCTAACCCTTCCAAGAAGTTTCATATATTACGCTGCTGAAAATTTATCAGTAAATATATAAAGAAAGAAATATAGAATCAATTTTTCACAAAGACAAAAAATTGAAATTCATAAGTTATAAATTTCAAAAAATCCTATAAATGTACAAAAGAAGAATTTAAAAAATGTTAAAACTAAAATTCTTCAAACAAGTAAAACCCACATTAAAAAATTAATGAACAAAAAAGAAAATGAAAGAAGAGTAATTTAATCAAGTTAAATGCCATGTCATCACAAGGAAGAAACATTGAAACCAATGAAAATCTTTCTTCAATAAAAATCCTTTATTTTCTGTATCCAGAATTAGCTAATGAACCATTCCAATGTATTTTAATTATAATAGTTCACCCAAAAATTCTGACCCCTCCCCAAAGCGAAAGAAAATGGCAAAAATACGAAGTAAAAACATACAAAAAAAAAACAACTTCTAATTTAGAAAGAATCTTAATTAATTGAATAAAATACATCGGAATTATACATTGGAATACTTTGATTAAAATACATTGGAATGGTTCATCAGCTAATTCTGGATACAGAAAATCAAGGATTTTTTATGGAAGAAAGATTTTAATTAGTTTTAATTTGAAATTTCAATGTTTCCTCCTCCTGATGATGTGGCACTGAAATTGAATTCCTCTTCTTTCATTATTTGTTCATTTTTTTAATTTGGGTTTTACTTGTTTGAAGAATTTTAGTTTTAACATTTGTTAAATTCTTCTTTTGTACATTTATAGGATTTTTTTTAATTTATTGCTTATGAATTCCAGTTTTTGGGCTTTGTGAAAAATTGGGTCTAAATTTATTTCTTTATATACTTACTGATCAATAATACATGAAATATATAATAAATAAAATAAACGTAAATCAGTATAATAACAATAAATTAATTTAATTATGAATACAAGGAAAATTGATTTTAGATGACTGAGATATTTTGACACTTTTTCCTCATTTAGTTTTCATTCCATGTATTTAACATTTGATTTTAAAATTAATGAAAATGTAAACTGTCAAACAAATTTCTGTGACAGAAGCAAATAGGGGAACAAAATGATGTAAAAAATTATTGCATTATTTATTAAATAAAGTTTAAAAATTCTAGAAAGGAAGTACACATCTGCTACAAACGGAGTTCAAAAAGCAAGGCTTGCTTTTATTTTCTTAAATGCATACTTCCATTTACAAAGTTTCACAAATTTAGATAAAGAATTTTGTGCGAAGTTTTAGTGCTATAATGAGTTTGAAAGGGGGACCTCTATATGGTTTCCCCTGAGCAAGATGCCTAATTAACATAACATTCATCATGCTTTAATTTGTTAAATGCAAAATATTTTATATCCTTATTTGAAATTTCATGAAAATATTACAAAACAAAGATGCTGATTTCTTACTTTACAGATCACTTTTTAAGTCATATTTTTTAGTAAAATAAAATATTCCCTTAAAATTCTCTAAATTCTTTTAAATTAAGGTAATGTAACCTTCCCTCCCCTCCCCCCGAAAAAAAGAGAAAAAGCTTCTTGTTTTCAGAATTAGTTTAATACTTTACAAAACTGCACTTATTGTTACTTTGTTACCAACTTAAGCCAGTTGTCAGAAGATATTAATTACTTACATCTTATTGAATTTTGCCCATTAGATACAGATTTTTTTTAATTTAATTATTACAACGTAACAAACATTTTTCTCCAAGAAGATTATATAACAGGTTAAATTTTGTACTTACAAAAGTACTCTATATCCAGAGACTTCAGCTAATCTCATAGACCTCTCAATCTTATTTTAGAAACTTTGCAAACAAAAGTGCATATCTGGGATCAATATTTAAGGCAATATAGACTGTTAACCACCTCTTTCAAAAACTTATTCATTTACTATTTAAAACATATATGTCTATAATGTAAACACCGTTAGTATATAATTTACAAATATATATTAAAAAAGATATTTCTTGTCATGGAAAACATTTCAGAATCCGTGGAAAAGCAAATATGTTATTGGATAACTTTTATGAATTTTATTTTTTAATTCAACTAAAAAACTGAATTACAGCAAAACATAATTCATTTAATCCTTTCCTCGTAAAAAATATATTTATACAAATACCCACACATTTATATATATATATATATATAAATGAATACACTTTTAAATCAATGGAAAATAAATAAACAAAAACTGAAAAATATTGCATGCATTATGTTTTAATACCATAATCAATTATTAGTTGATGTATCAGAAATAATTAATATCATTCCTTGTCTGAAAATTTATCACACAGAACAAAAACAGAAATTGGCATTTTTTAGAATACAGTATATTCAGATAATTAAAGTATAATTAAAAGATTAGTTATTATTAAACTATTTAACAATAACCGAAGATTATTTAAGATAATTTATATACAGTCAAAAGTCGTTAATTCGGACACCCATAATCCAGAATGATCTATGATCCGGACCTCAAAGCCACAAACTTCCTACACATGCGCATAGGCTTATACGCGCGCGCGTAAGACCTTTACGGCTGCGAATATGCATGTGCATAATACGTTTACGCATGCGCATTTAATATATAATGGTCGGTATAAGCAAAGCTAAAATTATTTAATTCAGTTAATGTTGCAGATTGTGTTGTTCCTTAAACTTCGAATTGGATCCGGCTTATTATTTTTTGCAGACTGTTAGAGCAATTTTATAAAAGTAAGCTTGAACTTTTGATTATGTCAAATAGAATTTCCGATATATATTTACTAATATGTAAAGGATCTACAAAGCGAAAGTATGTTACGAAGTTATTAAACAGAAAGTGGAATTGCTGCAAAAAATGGATAAAGGCATATCCTTTGATTATCTAATCATTCCAAAAAATGTTTATCAATTTCATGCTGCTCTGCGGGTGTAGGGAAATGACGTGGCGTGCAATGAATTGGAAGTTGATCTGTCAGCACTATCCTTATCTTCAGGGCATATGTTTTTATTTTATTTGGCTTATAATTCCTTACTAAATATAGTATTTCATCTCGATGTACTCCATCTTTGATATGATTTAAATCAAGTTCCTCGTCATGATAATTCGCTTCCGATGGTGAAGAAAGTGACAGAGGTTATTGAAAACGAAAAAATTTCGTTTGACAAATTAGTCGGTATTCTCGACACAGTAATTATAGGACTTGAACAGCGTAACTTTGTAACTAAACAAGAAATTATCTCTGTTTAATAGAATTAAAGAGAAAGTATTATCACATGAAACGAAGCAACTTAAACAACTTGCATTGAAAGAAATGTTTAATAAAGTAAACAAATAAATATTAAGCTTTTTCTTTTTATAAATTTTGATACCCTTTAGATCATAATTGTTCATTATTTCATAAATTATGGTTTCATACTTTTAATTTTATAATCTCTGCATGCCATCTTACCAGATTTAAACTGATGATCTTTAATCCGGAAAAATCGATAATCCGGAATTGCCGAAGTCCCGACGAGTCTGGATTAACGACTTTTGACTGTATATCAAAGAAATTCTAAAATGGCATTACTAATTCTTGGTTTAGAACAAATATGAATAATTTAAAGGTTTAAAATTTTATTAATTATTTTTCTGAAGAAGTTAAAAATTTTTAATGTGCAATATAATATATGACTTAAAATATTAAATTATCTCTTACTTACATTTTGTTATTTATCATCAAACACCTATATTGTTAATTTTGAACAAAGAGGAGATAATAAAGCTACAAAAATAATCAAAAGAGACTACAACCGAAAAATGTTAGTTCCAAATGCCTTTAATAAGATTCAAGTAAAAATAATTTAGCATACATAGAAGTATATAGAATATTTGATCTCTGAGCTATCAGTAATATAAACCATGTAACAGAGAACAATATTTTGTTGTAAAAATATAAATTCAAAATATAAATGTAATTTGAAACAATTTTCCAGCAACAATATAATAGTCAAGGTTAGTTCCAAAACTTGAAAGGAATTTACAACATTATTAGCAACAGAATATCATCATTATTTCCTTGCTGTCATCTGGGTGGGTAGTTAAATTGCATACATTGACTCAGTAAATTCCTATATGTCAACTCATCAATCTTAGACAGACCTGCTTACAATCTTGGACAGAAACAAGAATGTAGACATAGCTGTCAGACTACCTTTCCTATGATTTTTCTCACCAAGGCAGTAATATAATTTTCAAATAACATCTTCACATATGCACATCATTTGAAATGATAAAACCGAAAATGTTCGAGATAATATTTCGTACAACGGTCCATTATAGGCTGAGCGGTAAAGTCGCTGAACACTGGTAGTTCGGTCCAACTCTTTTAAATAACGGCGAATGGGCTGGATGCATGGGTACTTTCCTCATTTTACGCATGTGTATTGTGTATGCAGTATCTCTTGGATGCATATGTGAATAAAGCGTGCACAGCCCGCGCAAAACAGCTGAAGACTGGTAGTTCGGTCTAAGTTTCGAATAAAGGCGAGCGGCCCGGCAGCATGGCTGTTTTTGTGATTTTCCGCATGTGTATCGTGTATACGGTATCTTCTGGATGCATACGTGAATAATAAACCACTGAACACTGGTAGTTCGGTCCAACTTTCGAATAACGGCGAACGGGGTTGGCTTCATGGGTATATTCGTGATTTTATGCATGTGTATCGTGTATGCAGTATCTTCTGGATGCATATGTGAATATAGCGGGCGCAGCCCGCACAAAACCGCTGAACACTGGTAGTTCGGTCCAACTTTAGAATCCCAGCGAACAGGCTGGTTCCATGGGTGTTTTTGTGATTTTATGCATGTGTATCATGTATGCAGTATCTTCTGGATGCATACGTGAATAAAGTGGGCGCAGC